CAGGGTCGGGGTGGAAGCCAGCTTTTTTGAAGATTGACAGGGCCTATTTCTCTATTACCATGGATCCATAGTGAGTGTGGTATTGTTTCTGTTCAGCAAGATGGTGTGGGGGGCCATCACATGTGTCCTCCACTTGGCTGGGCAGATCTCCAATCATCTATATGGGTGATAAGAATTTCGTCATAGTACACAACATTGAATGCATGGTTGGCTTTGTGTTTCTTATCCAGCTCTTTCACCAATTTTTCTTTGTATCTCCATACATCATTTGCTTGCCAGTTTGAAGCTAGGGGGTTGGTAGAAGTGTTTGAAAATCCTGTCCCAGCACGACGCACTATCCTTCTTCTTTTATCAGGGCTCTGGATACTGTTCTGTGTATGTTGGCTGGGTATGTTGGCTGGGTATGTTGGCTGGGTATGTTGGCTCAAAGCGTTGGGGTGCGTCTGGGAAATGGGAAGTATGCCAGGGTGCTGATTGAAACTAGATCCTTGGGTGTCCTGGCTCAAGTGCTGTTGTGATAGCGTAAATTCTCGTCTCTTGCTAGAGTGCGTGCGTGTGCTGGGAGGTCCATCCCCAGGGTCTTCATTTTGTAGTCCAGGCAGACTAGCATTCAGGGCAGAAGCAATTCCAGGGAGTGAAGCGGCGCCTTGCACGGGTGTGTGAGCTGGGTGAGCAGGGGAGTGATGGTTGGATCTGCACTGAGAGTGTGTTCTTCTACTAGTTGGCTAATCTATGGTGGAAGTCATGTTAGCCGGTATCACCTCCTGTGTAGGGGGGAATACTTGTTGTGTGACTGGTAGATGTATATTTTGTGTTACAAGATGGGTTGGGCATGCTGTACTAGAGCTGGCAGGGCTAGTTGTTGGAGCTGAACGAGAAGTGGGCGTCCTTGGGAGGCGACGCCCAGTAATACCATGTCTATAGTGAGTTGCAGAGGGAGGTTGTTGTGTGGGCACAACTTGTGTAGGGCGGTTGTTGCAGGATTGGGGTTGTGCTTGAGTGTTGACTGAAGGGTTGAATTCTTCATGAAATTGGGTATCAATGAGGCCACTCATGTGGGCATTGTTGATGCGGCGGTGGGCTGCAGGGAGATTTGCTTCTGTACTGGGCAAGGATCTTTTGAACTGCTTCAGTGTTGAGCTCTTCGGTTGAGGGCATGTTAACAAGAGCTGCCAAGCTGTTGTTCACCCTGGAGTATTTTGCCTGGAGTTGGGCAACTGTGATTAATTTCGTCCCACAGGGGTTCATGAGGTCATGTATCCCATTGATATCAAGGTGCATTAGGGGTAGAACAATGTAAGTCCCATTCCACAGTTTTTTATTGGCTTTCATTGAAGACCTCGTCCTCACGAGATGATGGTATGCACCGCTCCAACGCTTTCCCGATGCACGACGTCACCAACCTGAACGACAAACTTAAAGCACGCATGCACAAAAAACACAAGCTTGGCTCTGCTGACACCTTTGGCCACCACTACCAAAGATGGCAGGAACTTAATGATGCCATACCACCAACTACCATTGCAAGCACTGAATCTCGCAACCCAATCTCTCAACTTGCAAACAAAGAGATCAGCAATTCCTTCTGGAAAAATCCAGGGATTACCCTTAAACAGCAAATAAATATAATGCAGTATTGTACAGGTACACTGTACAATCAGAGTCATGCCTTCAAATTCAACTTCCCCTGCTCTGGAAGGTGCCCACTGTGTGATGATATAGACCACATGGACCACATGCTCCTCAGGTGTATGAACTCAACAATGAGCAGGAAGCACACCAACAGGCACAATGCAGCCCCAAGCCTTTGTGTGCAAGCCCAAAGTATAGGCCGGTATGGCTCATCCCTTATCATAAGGGAATGAGCGAGTCCCTTATCATGAGGGAATGATTGGTATGGATGGCTGCAGTAACGAGAGACTCCTGGATCAGGGCTTACAGGTCACTGAACACATATCAAGAGCTATTCCAGACTGGGTTTCCCCTAATGTAACTGGCTCCCTTGCCCAGCACCAAACCCGCCCTGATGCTATCTTTGTGCGCCCCCTTGCAGGCAGACAAACTCACCTTGATCCTTCCAAGATTGCTCCTCAAGACAGGGACATACATCTTGTTGAACTAGAATTCTGTTCCGACACAAACCCCTTCATCACTCTAGATCGAGCAGTGACCCAACACCATAACCAGACTTAAAACCCACAGCTACAGAAATCCAAACAGGAATAACAGAGTGACTTAAACATCATCTTAATTGGTGTGGCTGGTACCATTTACAATGAGTATACAATTACACCTTATAAAAATCTAGGACTGACCAAAAAAACAGCCGAACCACTTGCAGCCAAGCTTAGGGACCATGCCATCCAAAGATTAACCACTATCAAAACACTAGACACGCTCTTTCCTTTCAAGGGACTTCTGGGAGGGGGTTTGCAGGGCGTGGCGGCGAAGGATGGGAGAAGGAGAGTCTGGGCGTCCAGAGGCATGGCGAGCAACCCTCCAGATCCCCATTAGTTCTGTTCCTGGCTCTCTCCTCCCTGGATGCATGCGGTCTTTGGCTTGCATAGACTTTTCTTTTCTTTTGTGCGAGACAGATGATGTTGGATCAAAAATGCTCAAACATTCAGAGTACGTGCTGGACTACATGTGATGAACAATGTTGCTGTGTACGTTTCATAAGCATTCATTCCAAACATGCTCAAGCAAAGCGCCATGTTTAGGATATCAAGCAAAAAAGGTCCAAAAATGAAAAAAAAATTTGTTTCACAACAGTTCACAAGTAGAATTATGTGTTATCTCCAGGGGAAAGCCAGAACTGCAGCTGAACGAAGTTGTCATATCAAATTAGGTTCTTGAGCAGGTGAGCAAGCCTCTCTGATTTCACAAAATGGTTGCTATGTAATTTACTACATACATCGCACCTATCAAAGCTTGCCACGCGAACAATTTTTTGCATTATTGTTAAGCGTCCACATTTACACAACAGTATATAATTGTACACTGCACACTTGTAGTCGGAACAAATCTGCACATAAAGTGTCTGCTCAACTATAACATGCGCTCTCGCCAGCTGACTAGCGTCCATTGTAGTAAGCTATAGCTACACCTCATGGAAAATGGCATTAGTGCGTTCAATTAGAGGAATTAGAGCACATCTGCAAAGCACTCTCCTTGCACAAACCACCTCCTTGCAACAGCCCTATTCTCATCACCTGCATTGTGCAACCCCTGCTGAATATGGGAATCAGCGGACTACTGCATGAACTTACTTCTCCATGCAAAACTCACATCATCTCAATTTCTGAGCTTCAGGCTAAACACCCTAATGGCAAACAAGTTAGGTGTGATCACAAAATGTGTGTGTGTGTGTGTGTGTGTGTGTGTGTGTGTGTGTGTGTGTGTGTGTGTGTGTGTGTGTGTGTGTGTGTGTGTGTGTGTGTGTGTGTGTGTG